GGGAACTTCTGCAGTACAAAATATCAGGCTGCAACATTATTTATCGGGAGAAAGATTCTCATCAGTGCCTGTAAAATATGAACATTTCATTTACATCAATTATTATTTTTAGCTATCCGTGTGAACGAGTGATTTTGGTGGAGGGAGCAGTACACAAATGCTGGTGGTATGATGGCAAACTTTCTTACCGACAGGGCAGGTGGTATGATAGCATACACTCTTACCGACCGAGCTATCGGCACTGGAGGCAGCTATTTTGTATCAATAGAGTTGCCTCCGGGCACTGTGGCAGCAGTGATGCTTCATGACGTCAGGACGGTTATGTTGCCCGCCAGTAGCATTGAGTTGCACCCCCCGACGACGTCGACCTGGAAGGACGCTTACCAGCCAGCAGGCTTTGTTGCTGAAAATTCTGGTTTCGGCTGGGGTATTTCTAAATTCCATTCGTTATTACCTGGTTGGCCGGTAAGGTAAAGGCTGCCCGCGATTGCAAGCCGTAGGCTAAACGCTTGCGATGCGCGTCATTATTTTCTTTATTTCCCTTCAGGATTATTATTATGTTTGTCGTAGGCTAACTTGTTAACACCCAAAGGGAGGTTCCCGAACTGGGGTGAGATAGTTTATTTGTCGACCCAAATTGGTGGCGACGGGCGATTGCTTCGCGATCGAGATTGGGTGTTGTACCCGTTTTCTTTTCTGCCACGAATATGTTTTTCTTGTTTTTTGTGTAATTTGTTATTTTCTTATTAAATCTTTATTTATTGTTATCTGAAGCCAACGAGTCATTGTAGCTCCACCTAGCTTGGATACCCCACCTTTATCTTGGGGAGCGTGCGGACGCAACAGTAGAGCCAGGAACGATGGGCTGCTTCCTCCCTCTTCACGGCTCTCGTGAGTGAGTGGGATTTACAGGAGAGAAGGAGGGGAAGGTCGCGGTTCAGTAGTCAACAGGGCTGTTTTACTATATCCTTACATCCCGGTCGAATATTCAACTTTCCAGTGCCTCTAAGCACTATGTTTACAGGTTCCTTTTCTGGACATAAAATCGTAATGTCATCACTAGATGCTATGAAATAAATCCATTCATTTTTTTTTTTCTCTAACTGGTTCCAAATCGTATGTATGATTTGTACTACCCTTGTATCACAAATTTTTGTAATATTTAGCAGTGGTTGCAACAATTTTATTTCACATGATTCCTGCATGTGACTGTTCAATAAGGGTTGACTTTGCTTACAAATGTATGCAGTTGGTTCTGCCGATTTACAGCGTCTTAATTCCTCTCGGCTTGTGGCAAAATAATATTGTCTTTTTTCATCAAAATTCAATAGTTCATTACCTGTTTCAAGGTAAACAAACATATTTTTCTCTATAACTACTGGCAGTGGTATCAATCGAAACACCTTAAATGTACCTCTGCTGATTAAAGGTAAGCTTATATAACATAATATTCCAACTTTTATATAAATGTGAACATCACATATTTTAGAAATCAAACTGATTGAATCCTTGCTGAAGGTAAATGGTGCCATGGTATCTTTTGGAAATACTGAAGCTCTTTCTTGTAATGTCTCCATAAGTAGATTTGCTGAGACTATTTGTGGTTGCAAAATACCCTTTTGTGCTTTTAGGACGCTCTCTGTCATCAAATCAAAATTCCTCTGCATGGCATCAAGTGCGCAATTAGCTCGAGCGATGTGTCCCTCTACTGTGACCTTTACACTCAGTTAGTTTAACTGCGTTTCCATTTCTGAGCTGAACTTTTCCATGTAAGATTTTAGGCTAGACAATCCCTCCTTAATTACATGGTCATTGTATTCCATGTCGGAGATAGTACTATTCATTGTTCCTAGAGATGCCTTTATTATAGAGAGTTGCTGTTTCATAATGCTGGTCATATCTTCGGTTTCTACCTCAAAATGCGTGATCTGCTCATTATAATAATCGGCATCATCCGAATCTAGGGTTCCAAATAATATCATACTAATTTCTCCCATAAAATTTAGGGCTCCCCTACGTCTGCGGATGTGTCCCGAATTTCCAATTAATTCGTGTCACAGTTTTTCAGTCCCATTTACCTGCTTAAGTCTGTCATTAGACAATGAAGAAAAATGATTACAGTCTGTCCAATTTTGAACTTCAGTAGCTTGGCATAATTTATTTATATAACTGATATACTGGCCTAACTGCTCCGTCTCACTGTCCGTTTGCCGTAGGTTGACGTACACTACAGTTTTCCACTCTGTGTTATATAACGTGGCCTCTCCTAAGAGTTCGTAATACAGTCCTGGAGAGTGATCATATTTATCTACAGAATATCCCAGTCCCTTAGCTGATGACTTCATCTCACATATTGGAAGATAAAGCGTGATCCACTCTGTGAATAGCCATAATCGCCATGGAGACATCTGTAAAGAAATTTTGCTCTAAGTTCACGGAAATCCAAAAAGATTTTTTTTCGTAATAAAATGGTTTTAATCGGTTCAGATGAACCTTATGAGTTCGTTTGCCTTTCTTAATGGTGGCATTTACTCTGTCTAACCCGATAATTTCATAGGGTCCTAACCACTGGGAGCTAAGTTTTTTGATCTCCCTCTCCTTACAGTTTCGTCGTACAGGAGAACCTTGTCTCCTACCCTAAATTAAGCCTCTTTTGTGGTTTTGTCGTAATATTCCTTGCTCTTTCTTTATGACCTGTCAACCTTTCTCTGGCTATGCTATGGGCTGTGTGTAGCCTGCCCTTCAGTTCAACCAAAAAATTGTCATAATTATATTGTGCGCTAGAGTTCTCTTGTAGAGCTGATGGCATACAGGAGCTCAAACGGCGTGTAACCTGTGGAAGTGTGTATAGACGTGTTGTACACGTACACTGCATACGGTACCCATACATCCCATTTACCCTGATCCTCATATATATAGTGTCGTAAATACTCCTTCAGAATTCTGTGACTTCTTCCCAAACCTCCATTACTTTCGGGGTGGAAAGGGGTAGTTTGCAACTTTCTTATCTTTAACATCTTGCAGGTGTTCTTGAATACCTCGCTTAGGAAGTTTGACCCTTGATCTGTCAAAATTGTGCTAGGCGTTCCTAACTTCAAAACAACCTGCGTTACAAACTCCTGTGCTACTGTTTCAGCGTCTTGTCCATGTATACGTATAGCTACGTATAGCTACCAGAAATTTACTTAACTCATTTTGAAAGTCCTACTATGTCCAAACAACATTTTTAAAAATGTTAGTTAGTTAGTTATTGGAGAGGGTGGGTTTCCCCATGCACTTAAACCTGTATTGGTCCATTGTGCTTCCCTCTATGATTTCTACCAGTCTCTATATCCTACCGGTACTGGTGCTTACCATCAGTCCCGCCCAGCCAGCGAGACCGGCTCTGCTAGCTGAGAGGTATCTATAATGCCTCCCCCATCTACCAGAGGTATTAGAGACTGCTGTTGTACGGGAAACGTCCATAATTTGGCCCAGTGACCTCCTTTGGAGGTATGAGGTTCTTTTACGTGCCGTAAATCTACGACACGGGACCCACGGCTTAAAGTCCCTCCCGGAGGACTTGTTCCCTGAATTTTTCCGCCCTTAAAAATTTGACGACCTCCGCCGGGTATTTGAACCTGCGTACTACGAGTCATGAGGTGGGAACGTTACCTCTAGACTACGGAGGCCGCTTTTTCAAAAGGTTGGTTGGCAGTAGTGGTAATTTCCATGGGTACTTTTCTCTCAGGACCTCACACTTTATTTGTTTGGCAACTTTTACATTTTCTAACATAGTCTTCAATCTCCTGCTTCATGTTCGGCCATGAATACTCACTCTTTATTGCACTGTAGGTTTTGTTCATACCTCGATGCCTCCCTAACGGTGCATTGTGATACTCATACAAAATTTTCCTTTTTAGTTCGTCATTTATTTCTGGTTGTGAATGCCCTTTATTTTCTACAATTCCATTTATCCTACTCAACGCGTCAGCATTTGTGTTTGATGTCCCCTTTTTGTATATTATCTCGTAATCATATTCTTCCAATTTTATCCTCCATCGTAGTAGCCTCGAACCTGGATCCTTTATGTTCATTATCCATGTGAGAGGTTTGTGATCAGTCGCAACCTTGAATTTCCTCCCATATAGATACGATCTGAAATGTTTTATTCCCCAAACTATTGCCAAATTTCCTTCTCACTGGTTGAATATTTTTTTCTTCTTTATTCAGATTCCGGCTGGCATAGGCAATAGGCAAATCATTTCCTATTTGGCCCTGGGATAATACTACTCCTACACCTTCATTGCTGGCGTCAGTGGTTAATGCAAACTCTCTCGTAAAATCAGGATATTGCAATGTGGGTTGCGAAATCAATTTCTGTTTCAGCCTGTGGAAAGCATTTTCTTGCTCGTCTAACCATCCAAAATGGGCACCCTTTTTAGCAACTTATACAAGGACGTGGCCATTTTACTGAAATTGGAAATAAATTTCCGATAATAACTGGCCATACCCAGAAAACTTTTCAACTGCTTAGTTGAAATGGGTTGTGGAAAATTTTCTATGACCTTAACTTTTTTTGGATCCGGTCGCAACCTTCTTCGGTGATTACATGACCTAGATAACTTACTTCGGTACGAAGAAACTCACACCTGTCTGGCTGGAGTTTCAAAATGTAATTCCTAATCCTTCTAAAAAGTCTCTCAATTTTTCATCGTGCTCACTTAGAGACTTAACATAAATCACGATGTCATCTAGAAATACAAAGCTTCGGGTGCCTGTTAAGCCACATAATACATTGTTAATCATTCTCTGGAAAGTCGAAGGAGCTTTTTTTAATCCAAAGGGTAGTCTTATGCTCACATATGCTCGGATAAATACAATATGTGTATTGTGATTGGTACAAGGGAGGAAGCAGTTTTGCATAAGAAAATAGATGGCAGTGGCAGTTTGCGCGGAAGGCGAATGCGCGTATAACATGTAACCATTTCTACTTTACTAGTTGAACCAACTCAGGTACGGGAGTTTCCGGTCACCCGTTTTGTGAGTCTGTTGCAGGCGTTTTAATTGCAGAGCTTCGCGAAAGATTTGCGGTCACGTTATCAATATATTAGTCACTGTGCAAAAAGACTGTATTTTGTAGCAGGCGAAGGTTAGTAAAGATCGTAAAGATGTTTACTGAAGTTGTATTATGAAACCCTGTGACGAAAATCTTTTGTGATCGACGGGTTGGAATTAAGTGCAACTTTCTTCATACGTAATATTTTATGAGTAGTTGACGCTGCTTTGTAGATTTCTTGTTAACACAAATTTGTTAGGCATTATAACGTTATAGCTTTACAGTTTTTTCTCGAAAATATACAGTCGTATAAGTAGTCATTGCAATTTTATTTTAAGAATAATTATCATGAGACGTTCAGGTTAACCGAAGTACAGGATTTACACTTTCTTTTCAGTTTCTACACGTCGGCCCGAACAATGACAGTAACAAAACCCCCGCACCGACCACGGTGTTTCTTTGACATAGAAGTGGGTGGTTTGCCCATGGGACGCGTTATATTTGAGTTATTCTCAGATTTGTGCCCAATAACGTGCGAGAATTTTCGTGCCCTGTGTACTGGTGAGAAGGGCATCGGGAAAACTACTGGTAAACCACTGCATTACAAGGGAATAATCTTTCATCGCGTAGTACGTGATTTCATGATACAAGGAGGTGATTTCTCTGTTGGGAATGGCACCGGTGGAGAGTCAATCTACGGAGGAACATTCACAGGTAATTTTCATACCCATAGTTTGTTATTGAAATTGTTCTGTTTCTGCCCTTATATAATGAATGTCCAGCTCTCGTTTAGTACTATATTAGCACGCAAGACGTGATTGCCTATATAATTTTATCAAACCCTCAAGAACACGTTTACAATTAATGACTTCCATACAGAACTAATTTTCCTTGATGCAGATTTCAATACCACGACTAATAGTTTTTTTTTTTTTTGCTTATTTTATGTTGAATGTATGCAGTATGATAACTGTTCTGAAAGGAACAATCCATGTGATAAGAATTTTATTGGTATTACAGGTCAACATTTGTCTTGTAATTTTCCTATCCAGAATGGTCTAAAACAAGGAGATGGTTTATTGCAACTGTTTTTCAACTTTGCTTTAGAATGTGCCATTAGAAAGGTCTAGGAAAACCAGGTGGGACTGAAATTAAATGGGACATATCAGCTGTTGGTCTATGCTGAAGATGTGAATCTACTGGGTGATATTATAATATCACCCAGTAGCATCAATTAAAGTCTATGTGTTTTTCTTTATGGTATCTATAATTATAGATACCATAAAGAAAAACACATAGACTTTAATTGATGCTACTGGGTGATATTATAATATCACCCAGTAGATTCACATCTTCAGCATAGACCAACAGCTGATATGTCCCATNCATGGTAAAATCTTGACACAAAGACAGGTAACAGATGTTTTGAAAATGTGGAACAGTTCAGATATTTGGGAATGACTAACAAATCAAAACATGATTCAGAAGGAAATTAAGAGGAGACTGAATTTGGGTAATTCTTGCTACCATTCAGTTCAGAACCTTTTGTCTTCTCGTCTGCTGTCTAAAAACATAAAAATCATAATATACAAAACTATAATTTTGCCTGTAGTTCTGTATGGGTGTGAAACTTGGTCTCTGACATTAAGGGAGAAACACAGTTGAGGGTGTTGAGAATATTTTGACCAAAGAGGGCTGAAGTGATGGGAGGTTGGAGAAAACTACATAATGAGGAACTTCATAACTTGCACTCTTCTCCAACTATAATTAGAATGACCAAGTCAAGGAGGAAGAAATGGGCATCGCATGTAGCATGAATAGGGGAGAAGAGGAATGCATATAGGTTATTGGTGGGAAAGCCAGAAAGAAGGAGACCACTAAGAAGACCATGGTGTAGGTGTATGGAAATATTAAGATGAATCATAGAGAGATGGATTAATGTGGCTCAGGATAGGGACCAGTGGAAGGCTCTTGTGAACACAGTGATGAACCTTCGGGTTCCATAAAATGCCGAAGAGTTCTTGAGTGGCTGCACAATTAGTGGCTTCTCAAGAAGGGCTCAGCTCTATGATTGAGTTTCATGAAGAGTATAAATACTAGTGCAGTAATGAACTTGTGCACGTATGAAAATAGTAATAAGCCACAATTTGAGTGTGACTTCTTCCTGGCCTTGTTAATGTTTGTGAACACTTCCAAATCAGAATTTGAATTATTTCATTGACTTAATGCAGGGTCAGGTTAGAGTCAGGCTTTTTCTTCTTAATATTACTGGGGCTTACGTTATAGCGGCTGGAAGAGTATTATTTTTACTTTCTTGTTTACATAATAATATATGAGAAAATATTGTGATGGGGATATGAAGCAGTCTTGAGATTTTGATGGATTTACACATTTTCAGGACCCCAGCATTTGAAAAAGTGTTTTTTTGTCAGTCTCATTTGTCTGCAAGTATGGGTGTGCAACTTGCCAGTACCTGAATGTTTGGATAGTTTTTATTCATCATCATCATCGTCAGTAATCTGTCGAGACGACAGGTCCACAGTCTCTTCCAAAACAATTCCTCCATTTAATGCGATCTAGAGCTTTCTCCTTCAAATGACAGTATCCTCTTCTGTCCCCTCATATTTGGTATTAAAGACTTTAGCCATCATATGTATATCATTACCTTGAGACTGACCATTTCTTTGCCAAAAACAGGTCCTTCGTATGAATCCCAAAATCCAAAATGACAGTTTTCTTGAAGACAGCTGTGTTGATTTTGATTAAATTCAATAATTCATGTAGACAATGTCCCTAAATAAAATTGAAAGGGGGACTGTTTCTGCTCATGTAAACAGGTCTGAAAGTGAAGGTGACAATTTATCTCCACTGCCGAGGATAATCTGTGGACCTTTACCTCCACTCCCCCACATGTATTCATGGCATGGTGCTTAACCATAAGGAGAACTCTTCTGGTAACTGTTTCACTGACAACCTGTTCTAATAAATGTAATTCCTGAGATTTGGACTCTAAAATGATTGACAGTGCATGAGATGTTGTAGTTGAATGAATGAATGTGTAAGGGGTGGGCCTTCTTGGCCCATGCACTGCGACCTATAGTGCTTTATTGTGATTTTGATTATGCGCAGGATTTTGTACGTGGGGCCATCAGAATATTCACTTGGTTCCATAAAGTATTGACCCAAGTGACGTAATCTTAAATAAGCCAAGGCCTCACATTCGCACAAGATGTGTTTGTCTGTTTCATTTTCTTCTTGACACCTCTCACAAGTGGGACTATTACTTAGTCCCAGTTTGAAGAGGTGTCCTTTAAGGTGACAGTGTCCTGTAAGTAGTCCCACCACCCATCATAGCTGGTTCTTGTTTATCTTCAACATTTCCTTCACTCTTTTAGCAGAAGGTACTCGTATGAGTCCCTTTGCTTGCCTGAGTCCAGTCAAGGATCCCCAGTATTTCTTGTGAGATGGTGTAGTTAGGTAGTATACTGTTGAGAGGTTGGTTGGTTGCTTCATGGGTTCTTTAATGCTTACAGGACCAGCTGTGAATATCAAATTTTCCAGCTTGCTATACTTAAAGGTTAGAATTGCACTGTTCCTATTAATTTTTATTCCTGTCTGTTCAGTTTGAAAGGTGATACTAAATGGCAAAAGAGGGCCTGAGAAACGGTTTGACTAAAGGAGTGCTGATTCATTTGAATTTCTGTCGTATTTTTACATGTGTACTATATTTATATCTTTTTTTCCAGATGAGAATTTTGAACTGAAGCATGACAAACCATTCCTGCTGTCAATGGCAAATCGAGGCAAAGACACGAATGGATCTCAGTTTTTTGTGTAAGTTTGTCGAGGTGTTACTAGTGGCTTAAGATTATTTAGACTGTATGGAGTAGAATTCACATCACATATAATGACGTTGCAGTGATAAATTCAGTCAACTTCTTGTGTCTGCTGAATTTTGACCCCAGGCCTTTGTCAATTTATGTTGATCTCTGTTCAGGTATTTAGGAACACATGCACAAGTAACACAGGATTCAACAAAGAACTGCATTAGTGTTTTAACTGTATTTCTGTTTGGTAATACTAGCTTTTTGTACAATGTCCAATGTCTGATGGGCCCACTGGACCATTGGTACTGGCTCTTTCTAATGGGTACATTTGAGTAGGTTACACTGCACCTGAGTGCTGGAATAGATCCAGCTTCTGAAACATGTTCTGTCCTGGAATAGTGGACAAGAAACAAAATCTAAAAAGCTAGTAATGCTAAATATATAGAGCATCATTGCCAGGGCCCTTGAGAATTTGTGTAATGTCTGTACCAAACATTTTCCTCAATGTCTATAACAATTGAATATAATTACGTGACTTATTGGTTGTCCCAACTATGGTAGTGGTACTGAATTGAACTTGGAGCTAGTTCTCAACTGTGTCATGGCTCAAGTTACTTGAATGTCATCACCAAAGTTGCTGGTTTCAGGCTTTCACAGTAGATGTCAGCATTAAATTATCTCCTTGGTATTTACGCCCTGTGGATGTGAAGCGTGTTTCTGAGATATATGCCGTCTCCATCTTCATGGTTTATGTTGTGAAAAGAAGTGGAAGCTGACCACCGTACACACTTTGACCCTGAAGGTGGAGGCACTGTGCACCTTCTAAACGTCAGCAGCGCTGTCCTCATCTGCACAGGAGCTGAATTAACACCATAGGGATTGTCATTGTATTGAGCAGGTAGATTTACAGCCTCATGCTCCACTTCTGTTCTGATTCAATAGAGACCACTGGAAATGCTGTGTGGATATACAAAGGATGTAATTCATTTAAGTATTTCCCATTCTGTTCATTATGTGATGACTAATTCTGAAATGGCTCCACACATTTCATGGACCCATGAAGCTTAGTATACTGACTAGACCATGAGTTGGACAGCTGGGATTTCATTGCCAGCAGGAGCAGAGATTTTACATTGGGCCCAACCCAGTTGGTACTGGGAGCTGACCCCTTGTCTCCATTTAGTGCTCAAGTTAAGGATTTGTTGAGCTATACCTCCACTCCCCTATATGAATGTATGGTGCAGTATGTATTCAAGCACTGAGGCAACGTTAGCTCATACTCGACACGTTTTGCAAGGACTTCAAAAAGAAAGGTAAATGCTCTTGCCAAGTCGCACAACAAGCTGCTGTATAACAGCTTTGAGGCAGTGCATCAGAAGGTGCATTGATTATTGTCATATTGTTTCCTTTTTACATTTTTTAAATCTGTTCACCTATATACAGTGCTTGAGGTGGAATGAAAATAGAACCCCTTTTAACAAAAAAGGTATTGTACATTGCATTTACTGCCAAAGAAGTAATGGGATGCTTTTAAGCCATTTAGAAAAGAAGCAGGATGCCATCCCGCCCCACCTCAAGCCCTGCCTATATAGGGATTGTATATTTTCAACTCTATTGGTGACATTGCAGTCATAATTATTCCACAAGCTGTTGTGGTAGTGCTTTCAGTATCCTCATGTGGATAGCATCTGTACTTTGTATTATCCTAAAATCTGAGATTTTCTTATTGAGAAAATATAATGCCAGAAGGTCGCCGGTTCAAGTCCCGATGAGGTCAGTGGATTTTTATCAGTTGACCTAATCCTTCCCGCCGCACTATGGCCCTGAGGTCAACTCAGCCTCTAACAGAAATGAATACCAGGAATTAAATAATTTTCCTGGGGAGTAAAGCCCGGCCGGCGCGTAAGGCTGACAACCTTACCTCCATCTTTGAGCCAGTTGTCTAGATAATGTGGGACTCTCAATGTCTCACAACCCTGTGGGCCTTCATGGCCTGTTACAGGGATGAGCTCTCATCCATCTTCACTATACTCAGAAGATGGAGGTGTTTCATTGCTCCACTTTACCAGATTACATAGCACAACATTCCAGAATAATTGATTTTGTGGCCAATTTCTTTAGTCAGTATCGTGAAACCTCCGTTTAATATTTCCTTGTGAAACAGAGGATTTGAACACCAAACTGAGGAAAATCTTAAAATGTTGGAAGTGTGACTCAATTGTTGATTTGGGATCATTGAAATTAAACTTTAAATGAAGGAAAACCTTAAATTAGGGCACATTAAACGAAGGTTCCACTGTATAGTGTTTCACAATCTTTAATAATGCAGTTGGCATCTAATATAATGCATACATGTATGCTTTTATGAAACAGATTGAAGCAAAGTAGTGTGTTTTAAGACTTTGCACATGGATGCAGTACCAGTTCCTTTGTGTGTAAGGTGACATAGTATTGTTTGTGTGTAAATGTATACATCAATGGACGTACTTCATTATGAAATTGGAGAGGTAAAAAACTGCCAGTTTCCTTAATCATTTTATTAACTATAGTGTAATCAAAATTTTATTCTCATTTGTGTATATTTCTACTTACTGTGCCCCATAATATAAATTAATTTGCATAATGTGTGTGCATGTGTGGTAAAACCACACTAAACCAGAGTAATCGGAGGGAGAGGTCATCTGGATTAATGAAGCAAAAGGTAGCCATAAAAGACAAAAAAAAACTTAAAACATAAATAAATGGAAAATTTAATGATATAACTAGTACTGATGAAAAAGGTAAAAAATATAAGTAAAAACTGTAAAAAGACAGTACATTTCTTCATCAATAGAAGAGTCGGAAATTGTACTTGTTTTGAACTTAATAATGCAAGTTTGAAGGAACTGTTAAGTTTTGTCTAAACATACAAGTGACTCATATGCCTTCTTAAATGCCTTGTCTTTTTAAAACATGTACTCAACTGTGATCAGCATTTTACATATTTCAGTCAGGTTATCCAACATCCGGATTAACTGTAACCAGATTAACAAGGGTTTACTGTAATAGCATGAAGCCCTGCCTGGCCAGGGTTATCCGAACTTTGGATTGTCACCATACCCAATGCAGTGGATGCCGACTTAACAGTGTTTTGTTTTTGCATAGTTGTGGTTCAGCTTGAGGTATGGTGCCACTTGCCAGCCAGGTCACGCCGGCACGCTCGCTCTAATCATGTTTTGTTCTTGTAGTACAACACAGCCAGCGCCCCACCTGGACGGGTAAGTGAAGTCATATAGTTTTTTATGTATAAAGTAACATTCGTTGACTGGTTCCACTGCTCTTCACTTCATGGCAGCTGATGCACCCCTTGCTATGAGACCCATACAAATTTTTCCAGTGAATCAGCATGCCTGACTGCCATTAACCTTCAGAATGAAGGGAAGTTCTTACCTTTACGTATTTATTTGTCCCTGCAAGTGAAACCACGCTTCACTAGAAAAGAACGTCAGTATCGGATCGATTTCACCTTCAGTGACAGACTAGAAACCAACTGAAAAAATGAACCCTGCTGCAGGCTGCAGGGCAGTTTTATAGGATCTAAACATCTGCAGTTGTGTTGCAGTTCTTGCACTAGACCTTGGCACTCCAGTTTCTTGAGGTAAACATTTCAATGATTTTCTGTGTATGTTCAAGTCTGGCCCCTGTGTCATCTAACTTCTCCTCAGTAAGAACAAGGCATCTATGTTATTGTTTCTTGTCTATTAAGAGTTCAATTATTCTAAGTTTATTCACCAAATTCTGAATTGTTTGTCTGCTGGGAACTCTTTTCATCACAAAGTTTACGTCAAAATTTTCACTGACACTTTCTAGCAGATTCATATTTCACATAGGTGCCATATAGAAATACACGTTGCTGTAAAGTATACCACACCATGACATACTGCACTGCTCACCAACTAACTGAGAACAAATGGCTAATGGAGCTGATAACTACTGCCTTTTGCTGACAAATCATAAACAAATCCCCAGTCATGAACTTCACTGCTCGCCGTGAAACATAATGACATCAAGTGGCCCAGAGATTAATTACTTCCCTTCATTCTAAATGTTTTTGGCCATCAGACATGCTGATTCATCGGCAGGATTTATACGTGCCTTGCAACAAGCATTGCATTAGTCAGCAAAGTTAAAAAACTGTGTACTTTGGCATGCTTCAGTCTTATAAGGCCATGATCATGTAGATAATTTTACACAATTGTTGCACTCTATGGATTTTCTAGCTCATTGTTCAGTAATTTGGTTAATGAACACAACAAAAGTTGCACCTTTAAGGCTGCACATGCAAATTATATCATCAATCAGTGCAACGGCATACTGAAATATAATGTTACATAACTGAGGTTGATATTTTAATATGTTGCCTTGACTGTTAATTGAACTGTCTTATCAAGTATAGAAACCTTGTTGCACTTCACATTCATATTTTTATGATGAAGTTCATTTAAGAAAGCATATTAAATTAGTCTTTGCACTTCTTGTTGCAGAGTGCACGTGGTATTCGGGCATGTGCTGTCAGGGCAGGAGGTGGTGTTACACATCGAGGGCCTGCCTGTCGATCGGATGTGTCGGCCATTGCAGGATGCCAAGGTGATCAACTGTGGAGAACTGGTGCTGAAAATGAAGGTCAAAGGTAACCAGATGTTCATTAGAATGGTGTGACTGATGTATATTTTATACATCGGGAGGATATGTGAGTGTAGTTGTGCCTCACTGAAGGTCCTGTCCAGCTGCATGCAAAACAGATCAGCTGAAATGGAACATTCAGCAGAGAGTCCCAGCACGGTGAGGTAAGATGAAGCAATAAATTCATCATCACAGAGACTTATTGAATAAAGTGATGAATAGACATACAGATGTCACATACATTTTTTATATATATATATATAATGTAAGGTCCTTACGCCATATATATAAAGTGTAATGACCTTGCGTGGGTCCACATATTTAACCCTTATACACTCAGCGTGCCAATCCATCGGCGCATCAGATAGTGGCCAGGACACTCAGATGGCAGATCTATTGGCTCCATCTAAATCATGCTCCTTTAGTTACATAAATGGCTCAGAGGTGGCAGCACAAGACAGTACCTAATTCTCCAAGGTCTGTTGCACAATTTTGCACCCAGGTAGCATCTCTTTGCATACAATTTTTTTTTTAACTGAATATGTTGAGCTCACATGTTTAGTTAGTCCAGTGCTTTCTTGGTCTGCAGTTTTAGTTGTTTTACTGTGAATATATCATAGTTTGGTGGTTGTAGTTTGCTTTTATAATAAAGTTATATATTATTTATCATATTTTTGTTATAGTTTTCAGAGTTTATAGTATATATAGTTAGTTATTTTATACAAGGGTCATACTGAAAGTCATGAGCAACATTTTTTTGTAAAGTAACATGCTTTATTATTGACAAACCAAATACACCACCTCAATCTACAGAACTTTCTTTATTTTTACACATAATCACCACTTCTTTGTACACATTTCTCCCAGCATTCTGGGAGTATGAAAATTCCCCCTTCTGTAAAATTCCATTCCAGCCATCCGAAGACACGCGCTGCTTTCTGAGTTGTTTCCCATGTCTTAAAATGTTCACACAGCTGATTCTTCACAAATTCAAAAAGATGGTAGTCGGAGGGTGCCAGATCAGGGCTATAGGAGGGGTGTGGAAGAACTTCCCACCCTATCTTTGCAATTGCTTCCAATGTGACGCGAGCAGCGTGGGGGTGAGCGTTGTCATGCAGGATGATGATGTTTCGTCCCAGAAGTTTATCACGCAATGCACGACGGAGCTTGTGCAGCATCTGGACACAACGAGCAGCATTGATGGTTTGCCCAGGTTCCAGGAATTCGGCCAGAATAAACCCCTCTGCATCCCAGAAGACTGTGCCCATCACCTTCGCTGCTGGTGGCACTGTCTTTGCCTTCTTTTTTGATGGTGAATGCAAATGGTGACATTCCATACTCTGCCGTTCCGTTTCGTTTCAGGCTCAAAATGGTGAAACCAGCTTTTGTCACCTGTCACAATACAGAGCAAAAAATCATCGCCTTTGTGTCGATATCTCTGCAGCAGTTCTGAGGTGATGGCTTTTTGCTGACCTTTGTGGTCTTTGGTTAATAACTGCAGGACCCAACGAGCATAAACTTTCCTATAGCCCAAGCTTTCAATCATCTCCTGTACTGCCAACATCTCTTTTGTCTGCTCCCAGTTGCATGCAAAAAAAAGTTGCTCATGACTTTCAGTACGACCTATGTATTTTTAAGTAGACAGTGACTGGTCTGAGCTCTAAGTTAGCTCTGGCATGTTAGAAAATTTTACAAGTGACAAGGATAATGACATTTTGATATAAGAAGTTGGCAGTTCAGATCGTTGTGGTTACAACCATAAATACATGGCAACTGGTGTAGAAGTAACTGGATCAGAGTGATCAAAATATAGGATTTGAGATTGCATCGTGTAGTTATATTGACACTGTGGAACAAATCAAATAAGGGAAATCTTGGCTGTCGTAAATAGAGGAGAACTAGAAGAGGCAGACTCCAGCTACGCTAAGATGGAACCATTGTGGGTCTGCCTGCTAGAGGAAAGAGAAGCCAAGTACAGAAAGCTGTTTGCCAAGTGAGACGCCGACCTGGCAGAGGCAGACATGAAAGCCTTTAATGAAATGATGGAGAGAACGGAGACTGAAAGAAAAGTCTGCAATCAGATGAAGATGGTCAAGTGGAAAGCTGACCTCAAAGAAGTGGCAGCAAGGCTGCCAGCTATTCACGACAAGTCAGACACCAACCAGATGAGACTGCAGCCTGAAATGGAACATCAAGAGAAGATTGATGGTAGAAAAGAGAGGACGGCATGCCAGGAAGTGACAGAGGCATAATCCAGGAGAAAAGGTGGCTGTGGTTGAGTGGAAGGAGATTCCTAACGAAGTGGCTACAGTTCGCTCCCTTGGGCCTTGGCCGTCATCAAGGTTGAGTGATGGAAACTAGTTTATCCCAGTGGACAGCTCAGTTTGCATGAAGACACAAACAGTAGTTTCCAAAATGTTGCAACATTAGCATAAAGCCTCATAATGTGAAGGGGTATAATGACTTATAGTCCATTGAAAGTCAACTGACATTTCGGAAGAACATATTGCCTCCATCTTCAGGGTTGAATGAGCCGATCATGATGCCAGCCAAGTTGCCTGCCACCTGCTTTCACAGTGCTACCATTATTCAACCCTGAAGATGGTGGCAGTATGTTCCTCCAAGACGTTTGTTGACTTTCAGTGGACTACACAGCGTGATACTATAGAAGATAGTACTCTTTGTAGCCACTGCTGTGAGGACCTCAAATCCTGCAATAAATAATGTCTCATGAATTAAAACTATTATGCATCTTTGTCAAGAACATTAAAACTCGCCTAGCCAGTATGTAGTGAAATATTGCTCAGGAGAATTACAGTTGGAGACACTGAGATTTGGGGATTTCACTGAAGTGACTGTAAAGATTACTGTCTTTTGGGTGTTACGTTGTTCATTCTGGTAAGTATCAGTGTGAGATGGGGCAGTAAGTTTGTCCAGAATGTTGTTACTTGCCAGTCAGACTCTGTGACATCACCAACTAGGTTGTCTCCAGCAGTATTTCTTCTGACTTGTATTTGAAATGTGACTCGTTTGAATTCCTGTGGGACACCAGCTGTCGTGACTGAGATTTTCTTGTTTCTCAGCCACTCTGGGAAAATGTCATGTTAGGGCCTCAAATTAGGCAACAGCCATGTCCTTCCACTTTCTTTTTTACATCATTTTATAAATTCTCGTACCATTCCATGCTGTATAATCTGAGAGACTGACAGCATAATTAAGTAAACAGCGAATCTCTCTATACTACAAAACTATAATGGTGCTGTGTACATGTTTGTCCATGTGTGCTGGCTGCAGTTTTTCAATTGGGTGGATCTGCCGGCAGAGTCTCAGTGTCTACAGCTTTTGTCGTTTCATGATGGATATTCAGAAGAGCTTCTTGAAACCTGCATTTTGTATTTTTTCGATACAGTAAACCCTTTCTAATTCAAAGTAATTGGGACCTGGATTAAACGATAATCCAGATTAGTGAAGCAAAAGATATCCCTAACACACAAAGAAGTTCAGAACACAAATACATGGAAAATTTAATGATATAAGTAGAGCTGATGAAAATAAATGAAAAGATGTCACTGTAGAGCCTTCATTTAAAAAATTAAAAACAATACATTTATTCATCAATAGAAAACTCTGAAGTTGTCCTGGGTTTTTGGACTTTTTTCCATTGTCTGGTATTCTAGGAAATAGAAAATATATGACATTTCAGAAACTGGATCTGTTTTCATCCTCAATTTGGAGGGGAGAGACACCTACTCAGTATGGTCCCTTAGAAAATGCTAATCTCAGTCACTGGACCTAGCTGAATTTTTAGGTGTTCTAATTTCCTATAGGAAGGATATATACTGGGTCAATGCTTATTGTACAAGTAGATTCTAAACGGTTGTGATGATGGAGTATAACACTCAGGATTACTGTTTGTTTGTTTGTTTGTTTGTTTTTTTTTTTCCCATCATCCGGTATTCAAAAAAATAGAAAACATGATGTGGAAACTGGATCTGTTTCCATCGTCAAGTTTTTTTTTGGGGGGGGGAAGACACCTACTCAGTTGAGTTATCGCTTTCTAAGGGACAAAACTGAGTAGGTATCTTCCCGTCCCCCACACTTGAGGATGGAAACACATCCAGTTTCTGAAACTTCTTGTTTTTTGTTTTCTGGAATACCAGACGATGGAAAAAGTCCAAAAACCCAGTAATTCTGTGTGTTATACTCCATCATCAGAACCCTTTAGAATCTCCTTGTAATAATGCAGGCTTGAAGAAACTGTCATTTTTTTTCTGAACATACAAGTGAATCATCTGCCTTCCTAAATGCCATGTGTCTCTTAAGGCATGTGGTCTGCTGTGAACAGCATGTTTTGTATTTGGATCTGGATTAACTGCAACTGGATTAACAATGGTTTACTGTGTTAGATTTCATAATTTGGTTTTGAGTGCATAAAGCAGAGGCCCTGGTAAAATAAATACATGACATCACACGCCAGGAGACGGTGATGTTCATGTTTGATTTCAATTTCAATTTTATGCTTATGGTGATGAGACTGGATTTTTGTTTTAGACAAGAAAGTGAAGAAGAAACCAGTTAGCAGTAGCAGCTCCTCTGCAGATTCAGACACTGACTCTGCTTCTGATTCAAAGAAGAGGAAGAAGAAGAAAGAAAAAAAGAAAAGGAAGAAGCAAAAGAAAGAGAAATCAAGCAGGTAAGATGATAATGAAGGGGGCAGTATGTCTGTTAGGCAGGGAAAGTTGTTTGTTGTGCAGATATCATCTGACCTAAACTGTAGTTGCATTCCCAGGAATCTTTTATTTGCAGTGAAAAATACATAATTTGTCTTCAACAAATTCATGTCCATGATACATTGACATTACTTCTGATAAGTGTCCATCTGCACTTGAATGAATGAATGAATGAATGTACAAGGGGTGGGCCCTCTTGGCACTTGCACAGCGACCACAGTGATCAGTTGTGCTTCCCTTTTTGATTATCCCCTCAGCAATCCTGCGCTTCGAATGAAGCTCAGGATTTTGTACATGGGGACGTCAAATTAGTCGCTTGGTTCCGTAAAATATTGACCCAAGTGACATAATCTTAAATAAGCTAAGGCCTCACATTCACACAGGATATGTGTGGCTGTTTCATTTTCTTCTTGGCACCTCTCACAAGTTGGACCGTTACTTAGTCCAGTGTTCTGCAACCATTTTCTACTCACGGCACACCATGAAGTATCCATGATTCAACACGGCACACCAAAATGTTATTCCCCTCAAAAACGCAAGATATCAGACAATTAATATAAATACGTAATGTGATCAACTTATTACTATAATATTATTATATTGTTATTTTATTATCATTAAACAGAAATTGACTTGTGCATTTTTTAACAATTAATGAACTTTTAATTCACTGTAGAGTGTAGAAAATACATTTCTATTACTATTAAAGTAAATACAGTAATTCTACTCATACCTTCAGTATGATACTTGTGCCTGTGTAGCTGCACACAGGCAACTGATCCGTGGTGGAATCGCTGACAACGTAAGTCTCATTTGTTCATCGATGGATTTGATGTCTTAATTTCAGTTAATGTCGAGTAGCCCAGTTCACACAAATATGTAGTTGAAAATGGCAATAACACATTAATTGCCATCTCGGAGATAGCCGGGTATCCACTGCTTATTGCCGACCAAAACATATCCAAAGGCACTTCGAGAAGTTTTAGTTTCAATGTTCTGTCTGCTTTTAAATCTGTGAGTTCCTCTTGCATATTAATCGGAAGATGTTCTGAATTCACAACAAATGGATCATGAACCCAGTCGAAATCTTGTACACTCTCTCCAAAATACTTATTGAATTTCTGCTGCAGCATTTCTAAATGTTCTTTAATTGTGTCCATCACCACTTTATTGCCGTCAGCAAGTGGCCATACAGTCGGGGACATCTCAAATGACCCATCTGTAATTCTCTAACTAGCAACCAAAATTTGCGAACTACTTCAGAGCACAGCTGTGATAGAACTGAAACAACTGTAAAACGCGGGATCTCTACTCTTCAAGCGGAAGAAGTGACACTATACCGACTTATTTTTTAAATATTTATAATTTAAATGAAGTTCAACAATCGGTGGGTGCATCGTTACAGGAAGAAAGTCATAAAGTTGAAGAAGCACTAACTTCTAACAAACAGGGGCAAATACCAAAACAGCGATATAAAAGACAGGAAAACCCATGCTAATCCCTGCAGTTTTAGGGGAAAGCACATACACAGCGGCAAGCATATCAAAGAAGTTAGTAGATGTGAGAAAAATAAAAATAAATCAATAATGAAAACTATGGTATGACAACAACTGTAAGTAAATAATTTACGTTTAATTTCTTAGAATACAACATTACTGTACATAGAAAATCACAGCATGTAATAAAGAATAAACAAGCATCATCTAATTTAATCAGTGCAGTGACTGAGAATAAAATACAAACATACGAAACACGGTAACTGGGATAAAATAAAACGAATAAAATTTGATAATTAATTTCTTACAATAGGTAAAAGTTCTCATCGCACCTTTCACCTTGTGATGGCACACTGGTTGCAGAACACTGACTTAGTCCCAATTTGAAGAGGTTTTCCTATAAGTAGCCCTACCACCCATTGTACCACCCATTGTAGCTGGTTCCTGTTTAACTTCAACAGTTCCTTTGCTCTTTTAGTAGAAGGTCCTCATATGAGTCCCTTTGCTTGCCTGAGTCCAGACAAAGATCCCCAGTATTTCTTGTGATTCATATTTGTTCAATCCCTGATTGCCTTTCTGGCACCTCCTATAGAGATGCCACAGGCTGGTTCAGGTCCTGTGAATGGATGTTCAGCTCCAATCCTGGCCAATTGATCTGCTGTTTTGTTTCCAGCAATACCCTCATGCCCCGGCATCCATATCAGTTGTACCCTGTTATGTTTGGCCAGTTCCATGAGGGTTTGGTGGCAATCCCAGACCAATTTTGAGTTGATCTGGTGTTTGTCAAGCGCTTTAAGTGCAGCTTGGCTATCGGATAGAATGTAGATGTTCCTATTTCTGTAGTTCCTATCCAAATTCTCCATAATACATGCCTTAATGGCATATACTTCTGCCTGGAATACTGTCGTGTACTGCCCAAGGCTGAAACTAAGTTTCCTCCTCGTGCCATAGCAGAACACACCAGCTCCAGTGCCCTTATCTTTCTTGGAACCATCTGTATACCAGATCAGTCCCCGTTTTCTATTGGGCTGAAACCCGTCTTCCCATTCACTCCTGTCAGGAAATCTGACTGTGAAAGGTTTTTCATATACCTGTCTCAGTATCATTTTGTCAGACCCCATTGTAAATATGGGTTTTTTTTCATGTCCTGACTTATGTATGTATTTATTAGTTTATTTATTAATGCTAGTGGGGTGGGACTAAGTCCCTTATACTGCAGCCACTTCTGGCCTATTGTAGCAGCTCCAGATGATAGGTGAGGGTGATTGTGGAGCCGTTGGTGGAGTGAAGATTGGCAGGGGAACCCGAAGTACTCGGAGAAAACCTGCCCCAGCGCCACTTTGTCCACCACAAATCCCACTTGACCATACCCGGGATCAAACCCAGGCCGCCACAATGGGAAGCCAGCAACTAGAATGATGTATGTATGTCTGAAACTATCGGATCTAGGTTTCCATTGATCACTGCACTGGAGACGGTAGATTCCCGCCCTGGCCTCTGCCTCCAACTGTATATGAAGTGGGGGGAGTCCAAGGAGTATCTCCAGTGCAGCTGTTGGAGATGTTCGAATTGCGCCATCATAGGACTGTGTACAGAGCTGTTTGAAGACGCTCTGATACTGTCCAAAGTAATTTTCAGTTTATGAGGATTGCTATGTCATCAGCATATCCTACTGTATAATACCCATCATTAAGTCCCCACAGGAGATCGTTGACGACCAGGCTCCACAGTAGAGCCAGGAGCATGCCCCCCTGCAGACATCCCCTAGACGCGGATGCCCCCATGGTCTCCTGATAATGTGGCAGCTATGGTTCTGCTTTCCAGCATAGCACTGATCCACCTACATAGTGCAGGCTCTGTCCATCTGCACTTACTAAAACTGCTTCTTTTTAAGTCCACTACTCTTAATTATGATGTGTGATCTAAGTGACACTGGCAGAGCTGAAACACATCTCTCTGTGAGCTTATAAAAGAATTATTTTGGTAAGCAGAGATGGACGATTTCAAAAAGTTACACTGGTATATAATTCAGCTAATTTTCATTTCATGCATCCTGTTTTATTGTTATGTACTATTCTTTATTAGAGTCGTCTACAACACAATAATACAATGGTCTAGGCTAAAATTGCGAAGTAGTGTGCAAATATGGTAATCATCTGTCTGCCTGATGATGGCTTTAATAGCCAAAACACGTAGCTATGCTAATTCTAACCTGGACCACTGTATTGTGTTGCGATGGACTCTAATAAAGAATTGTATAATTCAGCTAATTTCAATACGTTTGATTTTATTCACTGATGGGAGCTGGGATAGTGTAGTTGGTGTAGCAACTGGCTACGGGCTGGATGACTGAGGGGTTGGAGTTTGAGTCATGGTAGGGTCAAGAATTTCCTCTTATCCACATTGTCCAGACAAGCTCTGGGGCTCACCCACCTTCCTGTCCAGTGGGTACTGGCAGTAAAGTGGCCAGGATATGAAGCTGACCACTCATTTCCAACTAGTGCTGAGGTCAAGAAAGTATGGATCTATACATCCGCTCCTCCATACTCCTTCATGGCATAGTGCTTAATTAGTTAAGCACAAGGACAACAACTTTATCCATTGATGACTTGTATTTTTTCACAGAACTAATCAGATTCACATGAAATTGCATTAGTGTGAAGTCTGTGTGAATGAAAGTGAAGTAAGTCAGATGATATTGGTACTGTGAGCCTTCTAAGTTGTGACATGAGTAAATGGATGAGGTCTGACAGCAGTCTGGTAGAGGTTACAGATGTTTTGGAGGAACATACTGTCTCCATCCTCAGGGTCAAAGAGGAAGCCAAGCAGTCAGTCAGCAAGAAGTGGCCCTGGTTGCTTCCTCCTGTCTCAGAATGTCTGGGTTTTTGGACTTTGTCCATCATCCGGTATTCTAAAAACTAGAGAACGCAATGTTTCGGATACTGGATCTGTCTCCTTCCTCAGATAAGAAGGGAGGCACTCTGTTGGTTCCTTCCTTCATGTTTTTCCATAAACATTTTGTGTGCATTACTCCTATGCTTCCTGTATGTATTATCTTCCTTTGTTTGATCATATTGTAACGTGTTTGGACGGCCTGTGACACCAGTCATAGCATGTTTGGGCGACTGAGACACAGTTTGGATTGGTAATTGGTTTCTATTAGCCACTTACAGGTTGTAAATACAATTACTAATAACACTGTTACTGATTTACACAACTAACACTCTCTACACACTAATCTTCTCAGTCGATCTGATGTAGTTTTCACGTATTTATAACACGGGAGCTATACAAGTCTCACTGAATTACACACTCCCAATCTCTCTTGTAGTCACACAATAAGTCTTCACTGGCTGACTTCTCAGCTATCACTTTCTATCACATAGTACACATAAAATCTTCCAGTCGCACTTTACTTCCTCACAGGCCAACCTCCTGTATTCTTCTGTAGTCCATTCGCATGCTTCTCTCATAACTAACTCCGCGAACTCACTCTGAGAACTGCCTTCTTAGGAATTTCAGTTTCTCCTATAAACTCAAGACTAGCAGAAAATGCACATCACTTCACTTTTGCGTGATGTCACAGCCTAGCGTGGAAGGGGTGTTTACCAAGCGTTGCATATCAACGTGTGTGTGAGATGTCACTTGCGGAAACTCAGAGGTCAGGTGACCCCTACTCACTGTTGCACAATCCAAGCGTTCACAGACATGTCACCCAGCAATGCGCCAATACAATCCACAGCTCTCCCGTTCCGTGTGCCCCGAGGCCTCTGTGACTCGACAGTTCCTATATAGAGCAGATATGCCACAATATGTACCATCTTCCTTGGTTTGATCACACTACTGATTTCAGACAAAAAGAAATTATGAAGGCCATTGTTACGCAGTTTTCCTTTTAATTCCAAGTCTGAGGCTGTATGTAAAGTTTTACAATTAATGGTTGTTAGCCCTTGATGGAATGCCTAATTTTACAGACCACCACCTGTTAAACTGTCTGTGACATATTCATTGTATTTGCAACCTCTCTGCATGTCTGGATATTGGATAAGGGTGAAACTTCTCAGTATTGTCTGCAGTCAGTTTTTCCCTTCTTTTTCTGTGAAGACACATTACCCTTCTGCATGCCATATACCAGTTCTGGATACTTGCTTTAAAACTATCACCACTGGAGAGATCGGACATTGTTAATCAGTTAGTGTAGCATTTCTGTTTGTAAATGGCATCAGGTGTGATGTGAAATGTTTGCAGGAAAGAGTGACCTGTCACATGGAATATTTTGTTGTTGTTTGAAGGCTGTGTGAAGGATCTTTCAGTTCAGCTGCATTTATCACTAAGCAGGTAGTTCTTTCTGGGTTCAGCAGTCCAAAGACTTAAGAGATTCTTTTCTGCAGCTGTGGTAATTCTTCCTCATTACAAAGAGAATGAGTAAATTTGTATATCTTGGAATGTAATGGTTTTACCTACTTGGATCAGGTGTGTTGAAATTTGATTGTAGTGTGGCAGTTGATGCTCACAAATTTTCTGTAGCAATCTCAGTGTAATTAAACTGCTTAGCCACATGCACTTTAGTCTTATCAACATCATTAGGATTGGTTTATTTGCTGTTAGGTCCCTTCTGGTATTTAGGAAATTTCATCTGCTTGTATCTTAATCCCCTGTTTATTGTGTCTATATGCACATCTACTTATCCGTAATTTAAAATGTTGATAGAGTATATCTGATTCTATCGACTCTGGCCATAGGTACAGCTCCGCATGTATATCGTGTTTTAAATTTTTCACCCGACTCCCACAGATGGTTTATGTTGTGTCTGGTTCATGTATTCTGCATTGTGTTGGTTCTCGTATCTGGAGGTAAGGACTAGTTCTGTCTGTTGGGCCCATGTGAGTGGGTTTTTTACCTGAAGATCGATTCAGAGTCTGGTCTCTGGAATTAAATTTAAATATTTGACAGATATTTTTACACGTATTCACAATACAGTAAACACTTGCCAAGGCAGTTACAGTTCATCTGGATCGAAATGTGGATGATGAAAAATTCTGTTTGCAGTTGAGTACCAAATAGACACAGGACATTTAAGAGCAACAGGGACTAGAGCAAGACGACTTTCAGACTGTGTTGAGGGCAGCTGGAGAGATTGAAACCATGCAAGAAAATATCAAATATTGGCTTGAGCTGTGTGAATGAAACCCTGGATTTCAGCTTCTAGCAGAAGAAAAAATTGCTGTAGCAATATTTTTTTATATATTTCTGTCATCTCTACCTATGTTATTAAATTTTCATTATATTTGTTTTTTAAGTTTCTTCCATCTTTTAGGGCTGTCTTTTGCTTCGTTAATCCGGATCTCCTGTCCCCCTCACTCCAGATTAACGAGGGTTTACCGTCTTGTCGAAGTCTTGATGCATTACCATTCTTGTGGATTGAACTCTTCTTTGAAATGTGTTCTGTACTGTAAAATCAATTTTTCTTATGTCACAGAAGAATTCATAGATAACAGCAAATCATTGTCCTAGTATGAATGAGTTTTAAAAATTAAAAAGCTGTTTATACATGAGCTGGGATAGCGCAGTTCATACCGCAATGAGCTATAGGCTCCACAAGCAAGGGGTCAGAGTTTGAATCCTGATGGAAAGAATTTTCACTTCTCCACATTGTCCAGACCGACTGTGGGGCCCCACTCAGCCTCCTATACAATGGGTACTGGAGGCTCTTTCTCCGGGGGTACAGCGACCCGGCCGTGAAGCTGACCACTCACCTCCAACTAGTGCTGAGGTCAAGAAAACATGGGTCTATACAGCCATTCCCCCATATGTCTTCATGGAGTAATTCTTAAGTAGTTAAACACATGGACAGCTTCACCTTTTAACTTTTTATATACTGACATCCAAAGGCTGCTGTTATTAATTTTGGGGCTAGGGTTGTTTCCTTGAAACCCATTTGTGGTTCTTCTAGTGGTGCAGGATTGTGCAAATGGCTGTGAATGATGTACCAGCAGTGAACCATGAGGTGTGCTGCAGCAGTAACAGCATGTTAGTGGCAACAGAAACAATGAGTGCCTCTGCTTACATAGGGACTGTTTTAATGGCCTGTGCACCATTACCAAAACCGTCCCTGAACAGGTTTGATTTTGACAACCCTTGTATTTCCTCATTTTGAAACAGATGATGTAGTCTCTTCCCTGATACTGGAAGCTCTGAATTTAACATGTGACATAGGAAAGCAAAATACAAAAATGCGTTTAATGCAAAGCAGATGTAGTTTAATAGGGTGTAAAGATGCCAATTGAAAACAAGCTCGAGAGACTCTTCTGAACAGAATTTACGGTACTGTTTTTGCAGCAAGAAGAGCGTCGGCAGTGGTGCTGATGGGGCAGGACAAGTTGAATCAGAAGCAGAGGAAGGAGAGGTTCCTGATGATGGTGAACTGCACCCACTGGTAACAATAACAAATATAAAGCCAGAGGAGATTCCAGATGTACCCCCTAACCGCTTCTTGTATAGAGGTGATCGTCAGGCATCAACAAATAACCGTCCTAAAACAGATAGGAATCCTAGGGAACGTGAACATCGACGTCGCAGTCGAATAAGAGGAATCACCAAGAGTGGCCGAGTCATAAAAGGCCGTGGAGTGTTCGTGAGTATGACTCATTTTGGAATTATATTAATAGGTTCAGTCATGTTTCACAGCATTACTGTATTGGTCTTTCTTCCTGTCTATAGTTTTGGATTCTGGTGGTATTATAGAAATTGAGATACTTTCAGTGTCTATAAAAATGTAATTTTCATTTTGGTTTTTGTGAATTTCCTCTTTCCTACTATGTGGGCATAACACATGATGATATAACATTTGTAATGGACTGCCTGACCAACCTAATGGAGCTGTTCCCTTATTGAGAAGCTGCCTATTGTGCAGTGACTCAAGAATATCTCAACATTTTTTGGAACCCGAAGGTTGAGTACCGTGTTCACAAGGGCCTTCCACTTGTCTCTATCCCAAGCCAGATCAGTCCATTCCATACCACCCTATCCTGTCTTAAAATAACCAACCCTCCTATGTCTAGGTCTTCTAGTGGTCTCTTTCCATCTGGCTTTCCCACAAAATCCTATATGCATTCCTTTTCAGCCCTTATTTGTGCTACATGCCCTGCCCATCTCGTCGTCCATCACTTGATCACTCTTATTATGCTTGGGGAAGAGTACAAGTTATGAAGGTGATCATTACGTGTTATTACATTTGTAATGTACTTTTGTTAGTATGAATGGTAGCCACCCCTACACAGGCAGTGCAGAAATACTGTGGTGGAGTTTCTAGTTGTGAAAATTGCCAAAATTTTTATATTACATGAGTATACCTTAAAATCTTAATCTGAGTGTTATTCCATTTTAGAGTTTTAGCTGCTATATGTCTCGATACTGGCAGGAAGGCAACCTGTGCCATGGAATGAAGAAGTACTGCTGGTTGCATTTCATATTTGCGATTAAACAATATCTTGTGTGGGTTGTTCTGTTTGAGCTGTAGTATCATGTGGTTCAATTTTTATTACGGAACTGAATTTCTAAGGACACCGTATGTTTAAAATGTTAATCCTGTCATGTTCTGTTTGTAACTACAGTGAAACTCCGATGTAACAAATCTCTGGGGAATGTCTTAGCTTATACTAAATTACTAAATTGAGGTATTCACCAGATGTGTGGTGGGTTTGTGCAAAATGACGTCAAGAAACTACTTATCTCATAAGAATTACTGCAATATAATTTTTTTACTTATGGAGTTCAAGAAACTATTTCTACACAAATAAAGTGACATAATAATGCAGAATTAATTCCCAAACCAATTAATGACATTGGGGCACACAGTAGCATAGTTGGTTGAGGTGCTATGTTTCAAGCTGGAAGGTCGCAGGTTCAATTACTGATGAAGTCATTGGATTTTTCAATTGATCTGGTCCTTCAAACTGCACTATGGCCCTGGGGTCATTTCAGCCTCTAGCAGAAATGCGTGCCACGAATCTTCCTGTGTTTAAAGGGTGGCCAGTGAACAAGGCTGATAGCCTTACTGGCTCTGTTTGCTGATTGTCTGGAAAATGTGGGAGCCTCAACATCTCACAGTCCTATGGGCCTCCATGGCCTGTTACAGAGATAGGTTTACCAATGTTACTAATGACATGAAGTACATATAAGTACGTAATCAATAATATGAAATCATTTTTTTTTTAAATATTGAATGATGGAAGAAGTAGACCTCAATGGAAAATCAAAGAAACTGTGATGTCACAGCCTGGCTGCGTGTGTTCATTATCTGACACCACTTGCCTAAAATTGTGGTTGTCAGATAACAGTTTCCAGTAGGGAGGTAACATGAGTATCAGTTGTTGTTTCAGCCACAACTGCGGCAATATGAGGTTTGCACTCACAAAGGTAGAAAATGTCTTACTGTAAATGCTGGTTATTTGTTAATTTGAAATTCACAAAATAGGAGAAAATATTAAATTGTTCTTATTGAGTTTCAGCTAGTATCAGAAAAAAAAACTTAAAAATTCAGGATTATAGTAAATGTGGAACACTAAATTGTGATTTCGTTTTAATGTAAAAGTTATATATCCACTTAATTAAGCGGCCTCCGTAGTCTAGGGGTAATGTTCCCATCTCATGACTCAAGGTACGTGGGTTCAAACCCGACGGAGGTCATGGAATTTTTAACACTTCTCGGACCGGTGATTTAAATATTTAAATCACCCTGGGGACCGGCATTTTTAAACCTACTACCCTAACTTGTGCACTGTTCACTTTAAAAATTAATATAAAATCTAATTAATTTTATGAACTGAAATTTTTGGAGAACACTTACCAGAGCTCCTAGAAGTGCTTGCGTGTGTGATATCTCTGGAAACATTCCCCTTTGTTAAGAGGCATTACGCAGAAGTTGCACATGTAGGCAGTTCTACTCTTCTTCTTGTGCTCTGCGCACACATGGCACTGCCTAGAAGGATACTTCCCCGTCGATTGTTCGCTCATCACAGTTTTCATGAGGGTATGTTTCCGCATGTCACCCGAGAGTCGCCCAGGGGGGTCCATATGAGGCCTCCTTGGGGTGGGAGTAGATGGTCCCAGTCGTACTACGTCTGTGTCTGACGCAGGTTCTGCCACCACCGTGAGGTCTGTAGCCCAGGCTTTTGCCACATTCATGAGAAATGCCTTGTATTTCAAAGTTGAATTTTCGTTTAGCTCTTTGAAAACCAAATATGAATTGAAAAGGGCACAATTTATAAGCCACAAGGCAACTTTCGTCATCCATTTTACTGTTTTCCTAGGAAGGGAATAATAGGCCAAGTATTGGTCGGCTCTGTCAACTCCCTTCATGAACATATTGTACTGAGAAATACAAAGAGGCTTCTTCTTCACTTGCCCGTGTCATCTTTGAACATTGACCATGCTCGAATTGTGAATAGTGGAAATCATATTCACAATGCAAGTATCCCTCCAGGATTGAAGAAGAATGTCCCCCTTCCTCCTGAATGTCCGATGGCATTTGTCTCACCCCTGGATAACCAGTAAAGTTTCCCAAAGTGGGTGTTTTGTCCACTTTACCCCATGTCGCTGTCCCCGCAATGCTAGCACTCGCACTTTCATCGGAACTCTCACTGTCACTTTCACTTTCTCTTCTGGTCACAAAAATTTGGGGGCCCCTGTCACTGCCACTGATACTGCCCTTGCTATCAGAAGACGAAGCAGTTGGCAAGCCAGATAACTCATCGGAGATCAAATCACAGATTTCTTCTTCTCCGAGAGCTCGCGCGGCCTTCAACTGCTTTCGTCTCTGAGCCATGTTGACACTGAGAATATCTTGCCTCACACATAGAAGCTTCGACTTGAACAAAGGGACTCTGCTTTAGAGTGAGAGGGGAATAGAGAGTGGTCACGTTGCTGACTCGGAAAACAAACATTCCGAAGGTCAGCTACACAGTACTTTTACAGACACGTGGCCACCAAAGCGAGGAATAGTGTGTTGCAACATAACGTGTCCTAAAAGCCTAAATCTAGGCGACCGGTCTGCCACGTTTGAAACCCAAATGCCTAGGCCTAGGCATCCGGTCCGCGAAGTGTTAAGGGCGGAAAAATTCAGGGAACAAGTCCTCCCGGAGGGACTTTAAGCTGTGGGTTCTGTGTCATAGACTTACAGCACGTAAAAGATCCTCATGTCTCTAGGAGACCTCTGAGCAAAATTAGGCAAAATGTTTCGCACCCAAGTAGTTTCCAATGCCTCTAGTAGATGGGGACGTTATCGGGTACCAATGCCAGTAGAGGGCCGACCTCGCTGGCAGAAAGGGGAGAATTATCGGGTACCACTGCCAGTAGAGGGCCAACCTCGCTGGCAGAAAAGGGGAGATAGCAGGCACCAGTATCGGTAGGGTATGGAGACAGTAGAAATTAAAGGGGGACGTACAATAGACTATTAGTCATGGTGCATGGGGAAACCCACCCCCTCAGTACTGAATAACTGAATATATATTTCCACTTGGTTTACTTGAAATAATGTTGATAGTCATGCTGAGTGCTACTGTGTGGTGTCACAGCAGGAAGCAGTTGGTTGATAGGTGTATTGTGAGTTAACCACTATCCTACGGGCATTTAAATTCCGGTAAAGGCAGCCATACGGAATATATTTAAATACCCGCGATTAGAAATCCGTAAAAACTGTAGTGACTTATTAATTTGCTCCTATTTCTGCAATTTCTGTGATAAACGAACGAAATAAACGCTGTTTTTTTCTCTAAAGAATATAGAATCAGATATTGTAATTTACAGA